CTAACCCGCGTGGCCTTTACGATCATGCCGGATAACATTGTTTTTATCGCCATGCACGCCATGATGAAGGATTTCACCCACCTAACCTTCATCTCAATCTGGTGCTTTATGGGCTTCTTCCTGTCCCTGCAATGGCTGATAGGTAGCAACGAAACGGCCACCAACGGAAGCGGTCAACCTGCCTTGAACTGGTACGATACCTGCAAGTGGCTCATCTGGACGTGGTTCGGCTTAGATGGTACTGGGATTGACCGCTCTGATGAGTTCCACCCCATTCTGGGGCCAGCTCTGATGATTGCATTTGCATTTCTTGGCAATATTCTCTTCCTCACGATCCTGGTCGCGCTGTTGAGTAATACCTTCTCAAAGCTCATCGCCGACGCGCCTGCCGAGATCCAATTTCGACGAGCTGTACTCACCTTCGCCGGTGTGAAGAGCGACTCAATTTTCGCATACCCCCCACCGTTCAATCTGATGGCCATGGCCATCCTCCTCCCACTCAAGTCTGTTCTCAGCCCGCGATCGTTTCATGATCTCAACATCTCTGTCATCCGAACATTGAATGCGCCGGCGCTCCTCATCATTAGCGCTCTGGAACGTCGCCGTCTCGTTCACCCCCGTCGCGCACGGTCGCAGTCTTTGCTGAACTGGAGCTTCAGTGGGTTCAACCCGCACGGAGACATTCAGGCCGTTTTCAAGGTGGAGCCGCCGCCGGGGGTGGAGCGAGAGCTGGAGGAGTTGGATAACCTGAGCGATGTCGGCTTCGCGGAGAGTGAGCTCGGGTCGCGAGTATCGTGGGATATGAATAGATCAAGATCACGGCGGAGAATGGCGAGGAGAAGGCGGCCTGGGAGAATGGTGTCTCCCATTAGTGTGGTGTTCCCGTTGCCGAGTGTCCAACGGGCCGGGACAAACGAGTTTGAGCCGTTGTCCGGATCGCCTGCCAGGCCGTAGTTCCGTCAAATGGTCAGTCACGGCACCCAGAACACCGACACATATTAAATGTGACGTGGCCTGGTTTGGGAACGGGGAGATAGGACTACAGCGGCCCCGGACAGAAACTGGCGATAACCCCCTGCGCGTCGGGGCCGGGGAAGGGATTACCAAAAGGAGATTTATTTGCATGCTGCAGGCTAGAATCGTTGGTTGGCTAGACCAGAGCCTCAATACGAAAAGTACAAAACCCGCGGATATTGAATGTCTGTCGTGGAAGAGCTAAGCGCTTGTAGTTGGTCTCGATTGACCGCCTCTAATAGAGTTTGCGATTGGAAATTGCCATTTCTTTGTCTTTGCTGTTCAGGTAAACAATTTTCACTCAAGCGACGGTTGACAACGCAGCCCAGGTTGTTTATTCTCAGGGGCTGATCCGGTAAACTACTACGCAAACTCAAAGGCCGTGAGTACTATAATCGAGTCAACTCCACGTCGATCTGTTTGTGCAAATTGAGGGGAGTTTCAGATAGTATCCACCAGCTGCCGGTCTGTCCGCCAAGGCATTTTTGAATACATAGTGATGGTGATGCTATCCCTGAAAGGATTAGAAAACATTGCCATCCCTTGGTAGTGATAATCAAATAGACTTTGCAAACTGGTTCGACTGCGCATTTCCGAGAATCTGCGCGGCGGGCGGCCGCACCACACGCCTTCCGCAGGGCAAACCGAGCTCGGAGAAAACCTGCCCAACGTTTAAATAGCCAAAACCTTGCTGAGAGGTTTCTGTTTGCGAGCATTGAACCGAGCTGCAGAGCAATGCATTTTGGGCTTAGTTTCAGTACCTGCGCGGTGAACAACACGAGGGGTAAAATCGAAAGCAACTTCTTTGTGTTGCTGTTCACCGTCGAAGACTCGAAGCGAGGCGGTAAATCTCAAAAACGTGGCGCAACACTAGAGCCTTTACCCGCGGACGTCCACCAATAAAGAAATAATTTTGGAGCTTGGCCACCTCCTTATGGCTTGACTCGTGATCCCCCCCTCACGATTAGTTAGCCAAGAGCCGCAGCGAGCCCCGGGAGGAAAGGAAACTAAATAAGGGTGCTTGGCAACATCCCAGTGACACGGGAGACGCTATTGGAGGAATGTTCGATCTGAAGTCTCCGTCCTGCACTCCGCATGCAAGCCCTTCCCTGCACCAAGTGCCGTGGTCCCGCTGGTGTAATTGGATGTAACCCTATCGAAGGCCTTCAGATGAACGCAATCGACCAGAGCGCAAGGACGAGGTCTTTGGGAAGAACATCAGACCAGGGAAGAGGTATCTGACCCAGAGCTTCGGTTCAGGGTTTCCTAGAGGTGCTTGGTGAATAAATACACTGCGCCTTCCCCATGTCTTGACGTTACAGCGTCGCTGCCCACTCTATTCTGTCTTTACCTTCTCATATACACTCATTCATCATGGTTGCGTTTCTCCAACTTCTTACATTCGCCGTAGCGGTTGTCGCAGCTCCGGCCGAGGTTTCCCTCGACGTCGGCCTCGGCGGCAAGAACTGCGATGGCAAGTTCGCCAGAACTCGCCCTTCTTCCAAGTCGCTGGTCGTCGATGCTTCCGGCAAGCAACCTAACAGCTACCCCACGCTTAATGGCGCCGTCGCCGCACTGAAGAACGTCACCGACGAGCAGAGCATCTTCATCATGCCCGGCACCTACACCGAGCAGGTCCGCATCCCTAACTACCTCGGCAACCTCGTCATCCAGGGATATACTTGCGACTCCCGCGACTACGCCGACAACCAGGCCACCCTCACGAACAACCTCTCCCGCACCATGGCCAACCTCACCAGCAACGACCAGACCGCAACCCTCCGCCTCTGGGGAGACAACATCAAGATCTACAACCTCAACATTGCCAATACCTTTGGTCAGGCCGACAAGAATGGCATGGCTCTGGCTGTCAGCGCACAGAAGACCAACCTCGGCTTCTACGCTTGCAAGATCACCGGATACCAGGACACCGTCTACGCCAACGAGGGCAGACAGATCTACGCCAAGACCCTCATCAATGGCGCCGTCGACTTCATCTTTGGCCTGCGCGCCGCCGCCTGGTTCGAGAAGTGCGACATCCAGACTATTGGAAAAGGCTACATCACCGCCAACGGCCGCGACGCAGCCAACAACACTTCCTTCTACGTCTTCAACAAGGCCAACATCACTGGCACCAGCGGAACGGCCTCCGTCACCCTCGGTCGTCCCTGGAGACCGTTCTCCCGTGTTGTCTTCCAGCACAGCGAGATGAGCGATGTCGTTGCGCCTGTTGGCTGGTCTATCTGGGACAAGTCGCAGAGCACGGAGAATGTCTACTTCAAGGAGTTCGAGAACACGGGTCCCGGTGCGGCAGGTATCAGGGCCAACTTCAGCTCCACGCTTACCAAGGCTGTTCAGGACGTCGAGCTTCTTGGCGAAGGATTCAAGAAGGAATGGTGGGTTGACGCTTCGTACTTGTAAACAGAAGTTCTTCTTTTAATAGCAAAGCATGCTTTATTATACCAAAAGTTTAGTTCGCCTGAGATAGACTACTACTACCTATTCCAATGTCAAAGCGCCGACGGGCATAGTTCTCATTGTCACTTATCCATACTTAATCTACACACAATTAGTGATGGGTATGTGCCTATTACGCCAGGAAGCGTTGGGCGTCTAGGCGCTGAACTTCGTGGTAGGTGTATTTGCCAAAAATGACATCTTTGTGTTCTTCGTCAAGAGTACCTGTCACAGAAGACGGGCATAGCTGAGTTGCTTTCTCTGGATCCGATGAGGATGAAGACAGCATCACCGGCCAACGGGTTCGTGGCCACACGTTCGCACGGCCATACTAATGGTAATCCTCGGTTACAGTCAAAGCTTCATGTCAGTCTCCAGCTTGTGCTTACAGGTCGCCATTTTTCCTTTCAAATACACTACTTGTCTTCTGCATTATTATTCGTATCTCCCGCCAGTGTCTTCATGTTCGTACAAGTCGCCGGTGCCGCTGGTTTGCTCCCTTTCTGAGCGTCAAACTTGGTTTCAGGCGTCTTGTTGGGCTCGTTTTATATCACAAATTCCAAGGAAGGCCGGAAGTCCCTCACCATGGCACGTAAAACTTAGGGCTTGCACTTTGACTAGACCGGGTACGACCACTGTGATCAAATACGATAGAATTGCTAATGTTATAGCATTCACAGGCAGTTTACCTTAATTGCTTAGTTGGGCATAGTGCTCCCATCACATCATGTGAGGGCATCTGCAGACACGAGCGTCAAAAGCCATTGTTCGCACGTTGATGCGGAGCGCTTTGGATAAGAGAACTAATGCATAATCCCGAGTCTCCGGCCCATGCCGATGTCAGGCAACAGAATTCATGACAAAAACCTACCAGATACGGACATCTTCAAATAAGCAATCGGACTCCAATACGAAAGTCCCTCCGAGGATCCATCGTTGAGGCCTTACAAGGCTAAAGCAGATAGGGTCTCCGCAGATGCGGTGGGGCGATGTAAGCATATTATGGAAAGGCACGAGCCGTGATCCGAATGACCCCAAACAGTTCGACATGTTATTTGTGAAGTTCGTGGTGTCCGTAATGCATAACACGGACGCTTTCGCCCCAGAAAGCTGGGCCGTGGCATAAGACTCACGTTTGGCTTACCTGAGTTCAAGAAATCAAAAACGTTGTTGTTTTTCGGAAGAGATTCGAAGCTCTGTAGTTGAACTTGACTCTATCATGTTGATAACTTCATCGTGTTGATAGTAAGGAAGAGCTCGGCAGTCTTTGCGGCAAGATGATCGAGGTCAAACTCCTTGCCAAGATCATCAGAGGGTCTCGTATTGGCCCACCGGGAAGGAATGCGTCGAAAGTCCTTGTCAGGTTTAAATCCTTCCGGTCAGATGGAGAAAATGGGACCTGATCTCAGACCCGGCTAATCGGCATGCGGGGCAGGTTCACGCCGCAACGGGGCACTTGCCCGAATGATCAGCGGGCATCGATCGAAAGAAGCCCATTGAAATGTTTTAATACTTAGTGTCCGGGGGTTCTCGGTGACAACTGCAGTGGCAACATCCTTAGGGCTGCAAATTGCCTTCGGCGAAGAGATCCGCACGTTACCTACATACGATGATGGACATACTCCTATCTTGGCGCCATGTTGAGTGGGTCTCTCAGATTGAAGCTGACGATTGTGAGTTCAAACCTGCCAATATCCAGTCAATGCATTTAGCAAAGGCTGGTAACTGATAGTGCCCCAGGGCTATTTCTTACAAGCCTCATCACAACGCTCTACCTGCTCTACGTTTCTTGCACAAGTGGCGTGCGATTCAAGAAAATCGGTCAGTTCACTCGCGACTCTCGCCAAAGATTGTGTCAACCGAAGCTGATCTGTCACCAGTCGGATGGGTCTTTCTTGGGTTTGTAGAGTCAATGGTCCTGTTCATCAGGGGTAATCGCGAAGGCCTAGACTTAGCAGGCAAGCAACGGTTATTGTTTCTGTGGGCTGCTCAACTGTTCACTTGTTTCGTCCTCTTCTTGTGGTCATTGCAGGACTCGAGCTTGGAACTGGACGAATCCCTGAAGAAAGGATGAGCAACAGGTTGTGAGATCTTCAAGCTTATCAATCGGTTAAGCCAGATTCTGGCACAATTAAAGGCTGAGATGGCTTCGGTCTTGGTGAACGACGTTGATGCCGAGATAGAACGTAATAGCAGGCTTCGGAGCCCGGTCGACATTCGAATCATAAGCTTGCAATGACCCCTTGGCATGGCACCATGAAGCCGATTGGGGCGTACTAAAAGATCCGCGCGTGACTAATGCGACTCGCTTCATACTGTGAGAGTTTTCGTGGAAATCTGATCATTTTAGACCCAGTTCTCTAAGGATCATATTGGAGACTGCTGCGAAGTTCATGGTTCTAGTGGACCAGTGCAGCTTCTTATCGCCGTAGGAGCCCTCTGGGCCCGAAGCAGAGTTTACGTTCTCATAAGAACTTCGCGGATCTTACAACGAGAAGGGAAATCCCCATCCGGATTACCTGTCAGCCCGGTGTTGTACGGCAAATCGGCAATCTTCCTGGAGGGGCCAGATTTGCCTAATTCAACGTTAAATCGGGCCCCTATGTGGTCAGCGTCAGCGGCTAGACGGCAGCATCCGACGACTTTTCGGCGGGGAAACATGGATTGTCTTCCGACTTTAAGCAAGTAGGATTCCTACTCGCCCTTGCAGGTTTCTCCGCTAATGGTAAGCATGCAGGTTGTTTTCTGTGACTGCCTGGAGGTGTGGGACTTACACCGCGAGACTTGAGAAGGATCGTCTTGGTATTGAATTTGTGAGCTGATACGATACGGATGGAACTCTGGTATAGCTATGAGCTGCTTAAGAGATTATAAAAGCAATAGCCAAGTCCATGAGTTCCGATTTTCCTCCTAAGACAGACACTTACAAAGTCAAGACTCTCACGATAATCTCTCTATCTTGACACCACCTCAAAATGTTCTTTCTCTCAATTCTCGCAACTCTTCTGGGCAGCGCTATCGCCCACCCTGTGGTTAGCGATGTCACAGCTCTGGAGGTTCGTGAGGTCGGTATGAGCCCAGTCTCGCCCCTTACCGCCCGTGCAGAGTGCTCAACTCTCTCGACCGTCATTGAACAGATCGGCACCAGCAGTGAGGTCGCTGTGTATGCTACCACCGGTGGACTCACTGCTCTGTACGTTTGCAGACGTATCAATGGACGTGAATGCGACACTCTCGCCAGCGCCATCGCTGCCGGTGTTGCAAGTATCTTCCTGATCCTGCAGAGATCTGGTGCCATCTCCGCCCGCGATGGCAGCGCTGAGTCCCTCGTCGACTTCCTCACTAGGGAGCTTGTCGCTGACGGCTCTACCTTCGAGTCAATCACCGACGCAACTCCTCACCTCCTCTCTCGCTACGACTCTGACGAGCGCACCCCTCAGTCCGTCGCCAGTGTTCACGGTCTCAACTTTCTCAACACCACTTTGAACCTGGACGTCTACGACTTTGGCGACGGCGAGGGTCACATCTATCTTCCCTTCGATGAGGAGCAGGAGCCTATTACCAAGCGCATGGAGAAGCGTGCCTCTGCTCCTGGCTTTAAGATTGCTTACACCACCCGTCTCCAATCCAAGCTCACTCGCGCCCACCAAATTGAGATTTCCCAGCGTCTTGCCACCTACTGGAATACCCGTGCTAGCTGCTGCAGTCTTCACGATCTCATTGGCTTCGTCAAGACTGACCACACTGCCAACTTTTACTATCGAATCATCCCTGAGACCGTTAACTTTGGCCTCAACTACGAGTCTGTTGACATTTGTGGTGGCATGGCTGGCTACTTGTAAGAGAGAATGGCTCACGGTCTATTGCGAGTTTTCTTGTTGTAGGGGTTCAATTGCCCTGATAGACGGTGGAATTTTCACTAGATGTATGAAACTTGGGACACAATACTTGGCGGAACTTTGGCTATTATATTTGAGAGTGGCAAAAGCTGTTACAAGGTACTCTTCAATTTCGCAATATGATGTACTTACACCACAACTCGATGTGTTTTTATCTGAGAAGAAACACATTGAATCAATTTGGTCATCGGGATTTGGAGCATTGTTGTTGCAGTAGACGTAATCACATAATAACCAGATTCTATTTCTATTACTGTGTATATCCACATGTGAATGGTTTCTAGGTAGAGCGAAAATTTGAGAAGGAATGGATTCGGATGTATTGATTCTACCCAGCAGTTCATGGGATAGATGGTCCGGATATATTTCGCAACAATCCTTGTTATTTACAGTTGTGAACCTGACACTGGTATTACATACAAAACGGTATTATAATAATGCATAGTGAATGACACCTGCCTGCATCTCCAATTATGTGACTGGGTACGTTTTCTCAACTACCACCCCGCATGGGTAGTTGTCTTTTCCAACCTGACTTCCAGCAATGTTCATCAGTGTATTCCACAGACTCGTGCATACGGGGAGGGAAAAGAAACCGGGTGTCTGGACGCCCCCCGTCCACATGAGCTGATCCAAGCCCCCGGCACTGTCGTCCAGGGAGACGGTGTAGCCATTTCGATTCCCGTTATTCAGATAGCCGCCGTATGAGCTGATAACAATATCTTCCAAGGTAATACCACCCCAATTCTTGCCGTCGAGCACGTCGTGGGTGGCACCCGCCATCAGCTGGAAGGGTGGGTCAGAGTCTGGGAGACCAGGCGTATCAGCTTGCACGTCGACTCGGTAGGTCCCGACGGTCAGGACGTAGAACTGATTGCCGTTCCAGCATACACCAGCTTTGTCATGTGTCTCTTGCGTCATGTAGGGGTTCAGAGTGTTGGGCATGGTGCTCGAACACGCATCACCGGTTTTCCTACAGGTCAATGTCTGTTAGCCATGCTTTTCGGTTGACTCGTGTGGAACCAGTGGCATAAGTAACGCCTTGGTGGAATATCAACTAACAGCACAAAAGGCGTGTAAGCAGCAGGCGCTACTTGCCACGCAATGGGAACCATCTGTCCGAACATGATGGTCTCAACCACGTTTACCATGCCGGAGAGATTAATGTCGACCGGCAGCGTGTTCATCATGCCGTCTCTGATGAAAGACTCAAGCATGCCTATGGTGGTGCTGTTCGACCCGGAGAAGATCTCAGACAAGTAGTCCTCTTGCGTCTTCTTCCATACGTCGAACAAGGCACCCATCGCAGAGGTCAAATCATTTTGCACGCTCGCAGAGTCTTTGGCACTATTCCGCAAAAATGAGTTGACTGACTTTGACGGGTATGCATAACACAGAACTTACGATTTTGTGTTGTCTTTGCCTAGAGCAAACGAGGCGGATATAGCGCTGTTGAATGTATCTTTCGCGAACCCGAAATTATTGCCCGCAAATATCGCGGCATCCTTGATGACTTTCAAAAACCATATTAGCTCATTGTTCACAACAAGAGTTCAGCTAGGCATACCTATATTCCACAAGCCAGCTGATGCCATGCCGATGCCAAATGCCATCACATCCATTATAGTTTTAATGAGAGTTGACTGATCATCTGCTTTCAGCTGAGGAGCGAACGTAGATGTGAAATCTCCCATGGCGGCAGATATGCTCAGCTGCGCATCTTGGAGTGCCTCGTGGTATTTTTGGTACACCTTGCCGTCAACGTGTTAGCCGACTCGATCCTTCAAGATTGGAGTTTTGGGTGCGTCTTACATCGTGTAGTTTGGAGAAGGAGTTGAGGAGAAGGAATCTGTGTACATTATCAGGTCAGAATCTTCTCAGGAAGACTTCAGTCCGAATTGATGCAGACTGGACTTACCCTGCTGGGTGCTTTGTATCAGCACATTGAACCGTTGTTGAGCATGGTGTGTTGACAGGATCTTGGCAATCCCAACCTTCCGGTCCACCGTAAAAGTCGCTGATGAAAGCCGGAAACTTGAGCTGGGCTGAAGTTGTTCCTGGTTTGTAGGCTTGCCATGCAGCAACAGCTTCATTCCACGAAGTATTCGTGTCAGCTGATGCCCACCGGACGTTAGCTAGAACCTTTGCGTCGGTGATGTTGGCGTCGGAGCATGTAGTTTGCTCCCATTTATCAGTACGCGTCCAGAGAGTGGCAGGAATGGCATGGGCGTTGGACGCCAGAAGAAGGAAGGCTAAGTTGCGCATCGTATTGTTTGATGTAGTAGTGAATGTGGCGATGTTGTGAAACAAAGAGTTCTTGTTGCGTTCCTGGAGAGTCTAGATAGTAATAGGCTTGCTGATGATAAGAGTTGATTGACCCCTTTGTGGTTCCGCAAAAAGGCTCGACCAACTCTGAGTCGTGAAGTACCAAGGCGCTTCCATAATTGTAGGCAGAAAATCCTCCCACGTGTAAGCTGGCTTGCACGGTATTGGTGTCGCCTGGGGACAATAATGGGCCAGGCGAACCTGTGGGTGGCTTCGAGATTCCCATGGTGACACTTTGATCACTTGAAGGTCAGTGACAGTCTTTTTGAAATATGATTTGGGACGAAACAAGCTTTTAATATAACAGAGTTATTCACCTTACCTAGCAGGCGCGCAGCACTTTTTCTGAACTGAGTCATTGCCGTAAATGATCGCGGGAGGAATTTCAAGCACGTGGGCCCGTAAGTGGTCAACATAACAAAGATCTTGGGCAAACAGCAAATTTTCTGCCCTTTGCTCTCATTATAGTACGAAATGTCGGCATGGCTGGCCCCAACAGCCCCGGTGCTTTGCTCCTTCGCGAATCACACAGCGCGTCTGTAGGGACCTTTTAGCATTGCGAGTACCCAGTCGCCATTCCAGGCTTTCCGATATCTGATGTGTCAATAAGCAGGAGTCTTAGCTTTCCTAGTCGAAAGCATCTCCTGATTTCTATTACCTCGTCGACTGGCTGCAAGTGTTCTACTTGAAGACAAAGAACAGAGTTTCCAAACAACGGCTTGGAGTTATCTTTGAGAACCTGAACTCCCGCATCTCCCTTTGAAAAGCGACCTCAGGTGTAAGAGCCAATAGTTATCACCCACGATGGCCCTCAAACAGTAAGTATACCAGTCTTCAGCTTCACGTCACCACTGGACTGACAGTAGTTAGGCTCGCTGCCCTCTTCTTTTGTCTGTTTTACGGCCAAGTTGTTATAGCTTCAGGTTGTAATCAAATACACTGTCAGGTTTCTGTATGCGCCCCGAATGCAGACGAGGCGTACAACGTGGCGAGCCTTGGTCTCGTTGCAATCATGGGACCCGACTGCGCAAGCTGGCAAGTGAATTCGCCCGTGAGCGGAGGCCAAGGTGTGTGCGCAAGTGGTCTTCAGACATTCACTGGTGCTTTCGATATCTGGCGCGGCTGGAACGCGATGGGCGGCGATTACTCTGCTACTTTCGCACAATGGGGGAACTTTTTGGGCGCTACTTGCACTGGCGGCAAGACTGTCTCATGCGATCCAAAGTCAGGACAGTATCCTAATCCTGTCACTGGAAAGTGTCAAACTCAGCAATGGTAAGTTGCAAACAGGAAAAATTGCGAGAATATTCGGTTTGGTCGAGCTAACAAGGCGGCAGTGTTATCGACAAAAGTTGCTAGGCACAAGACCCGTACCGGATTCGAGATACCAAGTACCCTAGATTACTGAATAGTGTGTTCTTTTACTTGAGCTTTCGATGGTCGAGACGTGTAAAGATACACCTTCTCGGCTACCATCTGGCACGTTTCAATAGCGCGTTGTTCAATATTGAGTTGGCAGGTTGGAAAAATTCCAATAATTGAGAGCAGTTTCGGCTTCTCGATGAGCGAGTCTCCAAATCTCTGGTCACTTTCCCACTGAAAATCACGTGTGTTTATGACCTCCAATGACTCGAAGTCTCTTCTTGATGGCGATGAAGACGACATACATGTGTACATATGGGCATTGATCTATATCAGGGCTCAGGAAATCCCTGCCCAGCTATGTGACCAGCTTTCGGTAATATTGAGCGAGATGATGAGCGAACGCGTATCCAATCTCAAAAACGACGCTGCCCGTAGTGGGTTTGAATGTCCTCAGGCATTATTTCAAACGATTGCACGATACTATGAAGGCGGCCGCATGGCACTGATTTTAGCTTGAGTCGGGGCATTGCGTAAGCTCCTGTCGGAAGGTTTGACAGGTAGTGACCTTCAGTTGAAGAAGGATGGATAAATGGAAGCCATTTCCAAAACTCTGCGCAATAAACGTCACTTACGGTGCTCCGCATGACTCTCGATATAGCCAGCTGCGCCGTGGGTAAAAGACGCAGTAGGTGACATCAACTTGACTCCGCACGACGTTGAGTTGAATCTTTACTCACCATCCTACATGCAAAGCAGTGACCGAGTTATAAAGTTTCTTGCATATACAGGACGCAGGTCGGGCGGTATAGCTTCTTTCTCCCTTTCTGGCTGTCCTTTCAGTGACAAATACCCGGCCTTAGGGAGAGGACTTAAAATGCCACGAAACAGCTCTATATGATGAGTTTATTGGCGTATTGAGATGAGTTCATGGATCCTCTGTCGTACCTGAGGACAACTCATTGGATCAAATGATGTATCAGTGTTATGATTCAGTGGTCCAAATCTTGACGCCAACCCGATTGTTGGGACGATAAGTACCCCAGTACATATACTTATTGCATGTAAGGTGCCTAGATTAGTGAGTGTTGGTATGCCTATCACAGGGATTCTGGTTCGAACCGTGGGTTGACGAAGAGGTCAATTGATCTGTATTAACTTCTGCGTAAGGGTGGAAAAGGGAGGTTCTAACCGCAGGTTGGGCAGGCCGCGATTATCGTAAGTATGGCCCGTAAGTGGCCCCTGCGCGGGCCCCTTGCCGCGAGGTCGAATTGGACTTCCAATCCGACAGTGAGAGACGCGGTTTCAAGTTGTGATCACCAGGAAAAAGGCACCATCATGATTCAAAGTCTTCATAAGTGAAAGCTTCCATGTACTCAAATATATTAAATTTGGTTCTTATGCTCCGCGAGACAACACCGAGTATGGGCCCGAAATCTCCTTCTCGTGGATGAGTTGAGTCCGACTTGACGAACAAGCGATGACCCGTCCGTAGTACGTAAGCTAAGTACCTAACCTCAGCGCTCCCCTCTTGCCATTTTAAGCGTCTATGCTACTTCGGGCACCTTGCCCTCCTGCATCTAGGCTGTGATTCCCAGCCGTACTTTAGATGAGTTGTCTCGCCCATTTTCCACAATACACATACCCTGAGCTCTCTCGCAAGCGCAATATATCCTGACTTTGGGTATTGATTTCCTTTTCTTCGGCTTTGAAGTAATCAAACCGTCTTTAATTGCGAATGATGAGCCCCGCGACTATTGAGTGATTTGGTCAGTCTCAGATATGGCAGCACTTTGTTGAGTTAATGAGAGCACGTGAACTGATTCCATCAATGGGAGACTAGGCGCCACGACCTTTCGACTGCGAGCCAACGGCCTGGTCTTGTTTCTAGATACATGGCTGGAGAGACCCTCTGTGTTGCCAAAGCATCTTGATATCGATGATGTTACTGAAGCAGATTATATCTTCATATCTCACGCTCATTTCGATCAGTAGGTCCTTTAGACTCTTTCTGGAGCATGTTCTTGAAGACTAAACAGTACTCATAGCCTGCCTGGTGCGGATAAGATAGCAAAGAAGACCGGCGCTGTGGTTATCGCCAACGGCGAGGCGATTAAGCTTCTCCGAGATGCTGGCGTCAACGAATCTCAACTCTTCCCCGTCGCGGGTGGAGAGCGTATTCCATTATTCAGAAAGGACGACCGTGAGGCTGCGGTGGACGGCAAGATACCTATCGCTGATGGGCCGCCCGGAATGCCAGCTAGACCCAATCACTCTCGAGCTGTCATGTCTGTCCACGTTTGGCCCTCTCTACATGCTCTCATGCCGGGAAGTGGACATCACGATATTCCGGAGGAGATTGACACCGGTACAGTCTACAAAGGCGAGGCAACACCGTATACTTGCACTCTCGACATTACAATGGGGATGAGATACGGCCTCATGCGCATGAAAGACAACATGCCTCTCGAACAGATGGACAACGGAATGAAGTCCTTCGCAGAGTACATCAGCGACAGAAAGAACAATGTGTTCTCACACTACGATGGCGGTCAACTAGCCTACAACTTCCTTATCGGGTCCGGACAGACTGTTTTCTGGAACGGACACTTAGGTGGCTATGAGGGCATCATCAAGAGCATTCAGCCCACCCCAGACGTAGCAATTCTCACCATCGCGGGGCGAGCCAATCTGAATGGCCGACCTTACAATGGATCTGCTGCCCAGTTCGCGACGAACCAGATCCGGTGGCTATCTCAACCGAAGAAAGTGATCTGGGCTCTCCATGATGAGGGGTAAGTTTCACCTTTCGGAACAGGTGGGGGAAGCAGCATATGGAGTATGTACGTAAGTGACTGACATGTTTGGGCGACGGAATCATAGTGCGATCAAGCCGTATCGAGTAGACACCGCCGCCGCAACTGCCATGGTCCATGCTCAGACCTCATCGACAGTAGAAGAGCTTGAATTCGGACTCGCAAAACCGCTTTTCTGAACTACCCTGATGATGAAGGGTTGGACTCGGTAAGGCTTATCAGCAAGTCTTCAGGCGAAGAAGTCCATCTTGGTTCCGTTTGGCAACTTAACAAAAACGGGCCAACCATTGAGGTTTGATTTTGCTCTGTGGCATGTAACCTTATCCGAGCGACGCTTCAAAACGGAAAGCTGCGGGCACCGAACACCGAGCCAGTCGGAAGGCGGCCACGTACTCCTTCACGGACCCGTCTGGAGTTGGCACGACATCCGACGGTGGGGGAGGGGGACTTTCCTTAGCGGCATGAGACATCACAATGACTTCTCCTTTTCTCAGTGAACATGTAATCAAGTAGACAAGCCGTACTCAATGCCATATTAGTTTACCGAAACTCAACTCATGTGTAAGAGGTTTTACTCATAAGTTACTGACATCAAATTGCTAGAGGACCGGGCAAGAGGACGCTTACCTTGGAGTGCTTCAAGAGAAGTTAGTCCACGAAAAGGCCACCATTACAGCCTCCCAGTCTCTGTATGTTGAAACATTCTGGGATTGAAAATCAACTACTTCTCGTCATGGCTGCACCCTTCAAAGTAATTATCGCAGGTGGCGGTCTCGCTGGGTCACTCCTCGCAAACGGTCTCGTCAACCACGGCATTAACGTGACCGTCTACGAACGTGACGCTGAAGATGCCAAAAGAGAGGGATTCCAGATACGATTGGGCGATAGCGCTATGGCAGGTTTCAATGCCTGTCTGAAACCGACAGATATTGCTGCTATCAAGACGCAATTCAGTCAAATGTCTTCGACAGGTCTTACCGCACCGACTTTGATGAATACGAGATTCCAGACTGTGCTTGACTTGGGCAAACTTCCGTCTTATAGTGCGTCTTCCGCTATCAATCGCGTCGTGCTTCGGGATATTCTAGTTGCTCCCTTGAAGGAGAAGGGCATCATCCGATTCGGAAAAGCATTTGAGGGGTATGAAGTTTTCCAAGGCAACGATGGGCAGGAAAATGTGAGGGTTCATTTCGCCAACGGCACTACTGATATATGCGATATTCTTGTTGGAGCAGATGGCAGCGGATCGAGGGTAAGATTCTACAAGATTGGAGACATTCGTCCTAGAAACTTGGCTGATTTGCGGATGAGGGCATCTACAGATCAACAAGCAAGTGGGAGCTCGGAATATCGTGCCAATTGACAGCCATGCTATGATCCTCAGTAAAGGCCCTCTACCCGAGGATTGGACGGAGAAGCTGCCTAAACGTTTGACCGAAAGTCCACTCATGGTATTTGCAGGTGGTGTGTCCATGTTCTACGCGTGTACGTCAAATCTGATCGATTATAACGCCATGATACAAAAAGATACACGCCGAAAGCTGACATTCTAGCTCTTAGTGTTCCTACCCGCTGCGGACGAGGCGACTCAAAAAGCCGGAAATGGCACTAGATATAGCACAAGAGATGCCTCCTATTACTGGGGCATTTTGATTCCCAAAGAGAAAATGCCGAACGATGACTGGAATAAGGTGGAAGATCCCTTGGGGATATGTCTCGATGCAACCCGAGACTGGGCACCCGAATAGTGAGTCAATAGCATCTTCCTCAGTTACCTATCACTGACCCAGCATTGTGTAGTCGAACGATGTTGACGACAGGTTTCGACGGCAAGAGCAGAGACCTCGTTACTGTAGCACGCATGCGAGCAAGCAACAGACTTGCCAAAACGTTGCGGGACAATGTCAAACGAACAACTGGCGACGAGGGACACCCTCGAGTCTGGCTGATTGGGGACGCGATGCATGCAATGCAGCCTAATAGGTTCGTCGGACTCTCTGTTACAGATAAGCCATCCCGTTGTACTGACACAACGTGCCATGGTAGGGGGATGGGAGGCAATCAAGCTTTCCATGATTGCGCCGACGCACTATTACAAATACTCGCCATCAAAGAAAAGGCTGATTCTGGTGTCGAACCATCGACACAAGATATCAGTGTGGCATGCAGTCAGTATGAGAGTAGAGTGATCGACCGAGCGTTTCCATGGGTCCGCAAGAGCGGAGGAACCAGTGTGCCAGTGAGTTTACTACTTTTGCGCCAAGCGATCTGTTTGAGAGATTTGACTGATGATTGGTCAAGATGATTAATTTGGATGGATGGCTTGGGTCTCTAGTCTGGATGCTTGGCTCGTTTTTGGTGTCGGGATACATCTTTATGGCTCGAGTCTTGAAGTCTGGGGTGAGACAATGAGGGGGTCGTAAAAATCAGCTCGCAGCTACATGTGTGATTACTATAACATTGAAACACCGATCGAAGGTACTGCCTTGAAGCGATGGATCAGACGGTCGCGTTCGGACCCCAATCAGCTGCCAATAATCTCTCCCTTCATGCAGACAATATTGCCCTTTTCGATGAGCAAATCGTTCCTCTCTTCATTCTCCACAGCAGCTGTTCGAAGCGTGTACTTGTCACCGGCGTAGAGAGGAGACATTGCTCGATAGGTAACCTGCCGTGCTTCCCTGCCGTCCTTGCCGTGCACGTCTCTCCAATAATCCAGCATGTTAATCAGATTCAAAGGCCCATGAACCACAACCTCGGGATGGCGCTCGATATCCTTCGTCCAGGGCTCGTTGTAGTGGATCATATGACCATTGAAAGTCAAGGCAGAAAACCTGAAGAGGCCAACAGGTGACCATCGGAAGTGACGAACTATGCCTCCTTCTGCACTCGGTTGGTCGGTGATGGTAGAAGGTCCGAAAGCAGGTGGTCTTTCACTACGCGGTGGTGCTGTTTTTGCGGCCAGTGACACGTCAACTTCAGGCCGAAATATCCACGATCTGAGCTTCAATTAGCCTCGCTGCATTTGCATGGGAATGCAATGTTCAAGACTTACCTCTGGTCTTTGACGACTAGCCCATCATTCCCATAGAATTCCTTCTCGACATCTACCAAAACCATCTCATCTCCGCTTTTGCTTTTCTTCGGCGTCGCTCCGACAAGTCTCGTCCGCGCTTCAACTACCTCGCCAACCTTGAGAGAGGTTCCCTCAACAAATTGCATCTTCCCTCCAGCCCACATCCGCCGCGTAAACGGCGCCGGCGCGTTGAAAGTCTTATCCGTGCCGTCCATTCCGAGCTCGCTCTCGACGCCAGTGGGAGTGAAGTAAACGAGATGGTAGCCTGGGGGCAGGGGCGTGCCTTGAGCGGGTGCTTCTGAAGAGACATCTACGCCAGGGTGCAGCTCTTTCCGGTTAAGGGTCAAGCTGAGTCGTTGAAGTTGGTTCGAGTCGAGTAATTGCTTGCGAACGACATCTTTGCCAGCAAATGTATCGAGTAGCTTAGCGGCTGCGTCTGTTGCATTGGTCGCAATGGATCTCTTTGAGCGAGCGGTGCATTGACGAAAGGCCGGCCGTATTTGATGAACTAGGGATACCATTGTGGAGGTGAACGATTCAGACTTGGGCAATCCTTGGTGTGTACGATAGACCACTCAGGCCTTGGAGCTTTGGTTCGTTCGGTGTTCTCACATGTGTCTTTCATCAAGAACTCTGAGATCGAAGTATTGGATCAGCCTGGTAATTGAGAGCCCCTCGGGATGTCAAGGCCGATGCAATCGCTGATCAGAGGAACCTCAAGCCGTCTTTACTTCGCCGCATGAGGAATGGTCTGCGTAGGGTCGGTCTGTGGGGTAGCGGAGCCGCCCGGCTATATGCTTTCGGTTTCTTGAGATTCGACTGAAAAAGCCGAGCAGCTACTGTGCTCGGCAGAAGAAACCGAAATGATGCTGAGTGAGAATTTAGCCTCCCGTTCCACGGTGACTGATGCCGGGCTTAGAGGAATCTTTTTCAACTTGTGAGTACTTCCCATGCCGTCAGAGGCCTCGGACTTCACACAGTGGCGGTAAGACACCTTCTCGTCTTTACAGACAACGCTGCAGGAAATTCAGGCCCTCTACCTGCATCGGACCGTTCGCGTAAAGTTGGGGATCTAGGAATAGCCCGAGATCTTCTAGGGCATCTTCGCCTTCCCAATTTGTGCGCATGAGGCTGAAGTATTGATCTTCCATCGCGTCGGGTCTAGCTTGCTGAAGAGCATCTTGTAGTAGAGTCACCGGGGGGCTTGTGCCTGCGTCGTCGTTGAACGGCTCGAGGCCCGTGATGGAGCTGGATAGTGCACTGGACGGTGCAGATTCAGTGCTGTCGCCATTGAGTCTCTTCGCTATTGATTCGTCGAGGTATTGCAGGAAGAGGTCAAGCACATTGTTGTTGATACGCCAGTACTTTTGAATTTCTTTGAGGCCAAGAAGACACATCTGGGCTCTATGTTCGGCTAATCGGCGACTGATGCCATCCGCAGACTTGATATCAATTGCATGTATGCAAAAAGCGGCAAAGAGGCTAGTAAGTCTAGAAGAGTCAGTCGCGGCATCAGATTTTCCGTAGCGTTGGGGTTCTCACAGGTGCATCTGGCCGTATTGCAATGTCTTTTGTGCGAGCATGTCTTCGGCGATGCGACTGATGCGACAAGCGGCGGCGAGAGCTGCGCTCTTATCCTCCTGGTCTCTGTTCCGCAGCCATCCGTTTCGGTGCACAAGGATACGGAGATGGCTGAGTTAGACACATGTTAACCATTGTCATAGAACGACACATATTCAGTACAACACTTAAAAGACTGGGCTCAACTCACTTGTAGGCAAGGTGGATTAAGCAGGTCAAGACTGAAGACTGCCCATCATCAGGGCCTCTACGCATCTCATCTGGTAGGCTTTGCTTCCAATCCTCGAGCTGCTGCTTCAATTCACGAACTTCCGTCGGTGCTGGTGGTCCCCGACCAGGCGCAAAGTGGGTGTCCATGATTCTCCCGACTATAGACGGGTTAGTCAAACTGGTAACCAGACTTGGTTTCGGCATGAAGAAGTGAGACTCACGAAGACGAGCGATGTCAATCATCTTGACAGCATAATGAATGTGCTCCGATTCTGGTGCACCGAACCCAGTTGCTCGCTGTTCGTCAGCATCATCCTCCAGATCAGTCGAAGTCAGCGGCTCAATGTCACAATCCTCATCACGGATTCGACAAGGTAGTCCCAGTGACACAGCCGCTTGCCGTTCGCGGACCTGTCATATGTGAGTAACGAGCTACAGGACGCACGGCGAGATAAGAAGTCATGATGAAACAGGGATCAGAGACTTACGTAGATTGACCACCAGACTCTGCGTCTCATCCGAGCGAAATGGGGATCCTTCGTGATGAATCGAGTTCTGTGCACATGTTCAGTCAAGCCCCTGGGAAAAGTCAACAGAACTCAGAAGGACTTACGAGCGATGAAGGCCATGGGTCTGCGCGAGCGTTAACACGGCCCCTAGCCAGTACCTCACATCTCTCCAATCCGCCGGTCCACCCCTCCAGAAGCTGCATAGAAACAGTGACTGAATAAGAGTAAACTCATCTTTCTCCCAGTTGGCATGAAACAAAACACGCGCGCGAGAGTATGTCAGATTTTTGGCCTCAGACCGATCTTTGAACCCCATGCCAAGAATCGTTGCCTCGTCGCAGTACGTCGAACCGATGAAAAGCATTGCTTGCAACAAGAGCGGCGAAATATCCATCGTCACGAGGCGCCTGGAGATATCGGCGCGATCAAGAATGGGAAAGCAAGGGTGAAACCAGGTGAAGTAAGCATGTAAAGCTGGAAGACAGCTCTGCATGTCGGGGAAGGTGAGGGCTCCCTCATCCCGAAGATATCGCTCTGTCGCAGAGCTCATGGAAGGCACACTGGCAGGTGAAGTTGCCAGGCCATGAGATTGTGGCGTCTGCGGCACTGGAAAGGTGAGACGACCCTTCAACAGCCCATCACTAGTCGCAGCCTCATTGCCGGGTCCTGATGCTCCAGGAACAAGAGTGATGAAATTCGACTCTCCAAAGAACCGGCTGCCGCCCGTAGTTCCAGAGGAATGACACGAAGCAGGTGTATCAGCGTGAAAAGGGGTTTGCGATATTCCAGAGGAGCTCGGAAGTCCATGCGACGGAGACACAGTACTCATCGAAGCAAGCGTCGCGGCGACATCAGCGGTGAGCGCGGACGACGCGGCCGGGGCAGCGGGCTCTGGGGTCGCCGATGCGGCTGCTTCCGTCTGCTTCTGCCTCTTAGACTTCCGTAAATACCTAGACCGGCCAGGTCAGTATTTGCCGACTCGGAGATATCGGTGTTGAGAAGGACAGGAGAGACTCACCGGCCTCTTCGCGACGGGATCACTTCGCAAGTCGCCTGCGCTGTCTCGCAGTTTGAACAAGGGTGGCGCTCGGTGACGTTGCAGCGGATGCGTCGCGAGTTGCACTCCCTACACGCGTGCTTCGCGCGCGGTTTCTTCAAACCCTCTGTCGGCATTGTGGGCGTTGACACTTGGCATGTCGCAGTAAATACTATGAGCAGAACATTAGGAGTTCTTCCAGACGTCCCTCGAATACCAGGAACCAAGGCGCAGATAGGTGGTGCTCTGGGCTTGCGACGGGAACAACATGGATAATATCCTTGCGCAACCAGCCTCTCCGTACAGTGCCGGTTCAATTGCACTGTTGTTTCCATGAGCAACGCTTTGACGTCTCGGCTTCTTCTTCCGTGGACCTCCTCACCGAATGGGTCTCCTTGACCGATGTCTCCGACGTTGACCGAGCCCACCGAGAACCAGGAGGACTACAGCTAAGACGGAAAAGCGACGGTGAATGATTGTGTAATTGATCAATACGTCTTTGATCCCTAGTACCTACTAGAAACTAGTGCTCGAATTAGATAACAAGTCTTTCAGTAAATCTAGCGCATGAACTTGAGGTTCTGAGAAAGGAGAAACGCCCTTCTACAGTATTATGCAGAATTGCAGATCGCGCTCCCTCAGTGCCTCCCTTGTAGTGGGTAAAGATTCTATCATTTCGTGTACTTATACTATGTTCTACTCTAATAGCTGCGAGGAAGTTGCAAGACTTTCTCGCTAATGTACGATAAAATCATCTCGCGAGATACAGGCGCAATCCTTGGGACAAAGATCTCGCGTAGATATCTCTCGACATCGTACTCTGCGGCATAGCCCATGCCTCCGTGTGTAAGCACCGCCCTTTCGCATGCTGTGAAAGCTGCTTCGGCAGCCATGTACTTTGCGCTATTGGCTGCAACTCCAACCTGGTCTTGGCGGATAGAAGAATCCTCCTTACTCGCATCGTATAGCCGAGCAGCATGATATGTCGCAAGCTTCGCCGCCTCTAACTTCATGTATGCGTCCGCCAGGGGATGCGCAATGGCCTGATTCTGCCCAATTGGCCTCTTGAATACAACGCGATCACGCGCGTACTCTGAGGCTTTTGTGAGCGCTGCGTAGCCTAAACCGAGAGCCTCGCCGGCGAGAAGACACCTTTCGGCGTTCATTCCGTGGAGTATGATCTTGAAACCCTGGCCTTCTTGACCAATGAGTGAGTTTGCGGGGATGTGATAATTGTCAAAGAATACTTCGTTAGCATCGACGGCGCGGCCGCCCATCTTCTTGATCTTTCGCATGTCTAGGCCGGGTTGTGACTTGTCAATGTCGATGCAGAACAGCGATAGACCCTCGCTCGGCTTCTTGCAGTCCTCGTAGGCCTTCGTTCGCGCAAGAAGAATCATCTTGGATGCTACTTGAGCGCATGTAATCCAGATTTTCTGGCCGGTGACGAGGTACGATCCATCGGTCTGCTTCTTTGCTGTTGTGGCCAGGCGCAAAGTATCGAGGCCAGAATTGGGCTCTGTGACACCGAAACACGTGCGCCACTCCCCGGAAATGATCTTGGGGATCGTACTCTCGAGCTGCTCCTGAGTTCCGAACTTGGCCAATGGCTGTGTAGCATAGACGTTGGCGTGAATGGACTGCGCACCAGCCATGCCGGCACCTGATTCGGTGATGGTCTGCATCATCATTGTCGCTTCAGAGATGCCTAGGCCAGAGCCGCCGAGGGACTCAGGCAAGGCAATACCAAGCCAGCCGTCCTTTGCGAGAGCAGCGTGGAACTCTTTGGGGTCTTGCTCGTTCTGGTCGTGTTCTTGCCAATAGGTATTGGGAAACTCTGAGCAAACTTGGCTGACTGCCTCTCGAACAGTCAATTGATTCTCGGTAAACCCCGTTGTTTCCATGATCCTCCTTGATGAAGATGTTGAAAATGCTGCTAAGCCATGTCTCAAGGTTATCGGTGCCCGGCGAAGGCACCCCGCGGTCTTGGTGGCTGGTTGCGCAATGCGCCAAAGATTTCGTGACAAAGAGGCGGACATAGGGTTGATTGACGAAGATCAAGTGGGAGACTGTCGAGCTCTGTGTGATTGAAAAGAGCACATACGATCAGCGCTCAAGGTATTATTATCTTCTCGTCCAGGCCGATTCATAGCTATCGAAACATGAAGGCAACTAAAGGTCAGCTCAGGTCCGGCAAATAGACCCGAAGCCCGGCTACTGTGTTCCAGGCTAGCTAGCAAATGACGACACCAGGAAATGATCGACGCTTGGGCTGGGGTTGCATAAAGCCGACTTGGTTCGAAGAAACCGACGCTGCATGCACCAGCGCTACGTACGCTTTGACTACCCCATGATTTGCTTGCGCACCCCCAAGAATTCGAGCCGAGGCCAGTATGGAGTGATGATTGCGTTCATGCCGTCGTATGGAAGTGCTAAAAAGCCGTTGAGTCTCCATACTATGTTACGATTGATACTTCGAGATTGAAGCCAAGATTCTACCACCGGCAATCTCACTAGATCATCAGAAACTTTAATCGCCGATTTCCACATCCACGTTTCTCTCTCGTTTACCCTTGTCTACCATGTCTTCACCCCGGGCTGTTTTCTCGGTACTAGCCTCTCGATTCGCGAACGGCACTACGTTGTCAAGGCCATTCACAACACCAAAGCAGAGTTCACGATGTCTCAATCACATATCTTCACAGACACCCTCCACACGCACTGGATTGCAGCATCGACCTATGGCGACTTCGTCATCTCCTAAACTGAAGAGAGACCCACTGCCTTTGGAGGGTGTCACCGTCGTCAGCCTTGAACATGCCATTGCTGCGCCATTCTGCACCCGTCAACTGGCGGACATGGGTGCCCGAGTCATCAAAATCGAGCGACCCGGAGTCGGCGATTTCGCCAGGGCCTATGACACTCGCGTCAACGGTATGGCTTCCCACTTTGTCTGGGCGAACCGCTCAAAGGAGAGTTTGGCTTTAGACCTGAAGAAACCAAAAGACTTTGAGGTGCTGAAGAAGCTCCTTGCCAAATCAGACGTCTTGGTTCAAAACCTGGCACCTGGCGCCACTGAAAGATTAGGCCTTGGTTACAACACCTTGAAAGATACCCATCCGTCTCTAATTGTCTGTGATATCTCAGGATACGGTTCGGATGGGCCGTACAGAGACAAGAAAGCCTACGATCTTCTCGTGCAGAGCGAAGCGGGCTTCCTCTCCGTCACAGGGAACACTCCGCATCCAGCGAAAGCAGGCATCTCGATTGCCGACATCTCTGCCGGCATGTATGCCTACTCCAACATTCTCGCCGCAGTGATCAAGCGTGGTAAGACGGGCAAAGGCTCTCGGATAGATATTTCCATGCTCGAAAGCATGGTCGAGTGGATGAACTTCCCACTGTACTACACTTACAACGGGGCTCCCGGTCTCGCTCGGTCTGGAGCAGCTCACGCCTCCATATATCCCTACGGTCCTTTTGAGACTGGCGGCGGCGGTTCTGTCATGCTAGGGGTGCAGAATGAGAGGGAATGGGCCAATCTTTGCCGGACTGTTCTCGGCGATGAAGCGCTGGCCAAAGACCCGCGGTTCGTGAGCAACACGCTTCGCGTCAAGAACCGAGATGAGCTGAAGGAAATCGTTTCTCAGCAATTTGCGAAGTTCTCGGCTGAAGAGGTTCTCCAAAAGCTGGATTCTGCGTCTATTGCTAATGCCAACGTTAATGACATGCAAGGCGTATGGGAACACCCACAATTGCGAGCGAGAGGCCGGTGGACAAATATCGAGACACCAGGCGGCACAATTCCTGCACTGATCCCCCCGGGTTTTGCTTCGGTAGAGGCGTCAAGAATGGATAGAGTACCTGAGCTGGGCGAGCATAATGAGGCCATTTTCGAGGAACTAGGGGTTAAGCCATGAATGCCTTGAAAAGTTCCTGCGAATATCAATAGTCCTACTTTACTATTACCTGAATAATGTCTCGCTGTTAAATTTTGACCGAAAACTCTTCATGACCATCGTACCCCAAGTAACTTGAGTTGACCTATGTTTTATTCCGGCAAAAAAACTTGCCATCCCTCGAGGTCTACCCATTTTACCCATAGTGTCCTGTTGACTTGCGGTTTCCCTATTGTGGCCATCAACTGCCGTCCACAACGTTGCGAGGTGCCGGGCAATGCTCCCCAGCTGGATCCTGATAAGCAAGCCCCCGGACCTATAGCGGTCCTCTTAGTGCCATTACGTAGAAGTCACTTCGGTTTCTCAACCTTTCGAGATGGCTACTCAAATGCCTGACCTGGCTTTCCCCGCACATCAACCCCACGGGGCGATGACGAAGTGCTCATCCGTCGGATAAGCTTTGTGGGGGAGTTTAGCGTCTCTAGTAGTAGTCGGGTGTGTGAGTGAGAGCGCCTTGGGTTCTTTGGGATAATTGTCTCAACCTGTTGTTGATGTTGCTCCCGGAGCTGGTCTGTAAAGCGCCATGTCTGGATAGCTCAACCTGCTTTTCTGAACACATCATCTTGAAAACTTTGTTTGACCCGACGTTGCTCAACAGACTTAATTTTGTCTTCGGCCTGGATTGGAAGCCCAAGATGTTTATCAAGTCTAAGGAAAGTGGGAAAACCGCTGAACATGGTCCGGAGACGCATGATGCCTTCGAGGATAGCAAGCCCGAAGAGAGCCATGTCGAGAGCATCCGTCATTCCCAAGTCCACTACGAAATAGATCCTACTTTAAGCAAACGTCTCGATCGCAAGTTTGACGTCCACATCATTCCTTGGCTCTTCGGCATTTGGTATGATTCTAGCCTGGATTGAAACCCATACTGATATACTGGTGTGAGAAACTGACTGGTTTTACCCAGGCTTTTCGCGTTCATCGATAGAAGCAATATTGGGAATGCTAAGATCGACGGCCTCCTGGAAGACCTCGATATGGTCACTGGCACGAAGTTCAATGTTGCATTGTTGGTGTTCTACATTCCGTACATCCTCGTCGATGTTCCGAGCAACTGGATCGTGAAAAAAGTCCGAGCCGGCGTCTATCTGCCAACTCTCATTACTTGCTGGGGCATCGTAAGCACGTTTCTTGGTTTCACAAAATCTTTCGCAGGTCTTGTGATCTGTCGATTGCTCCTTGGACTCTTTGAGGGCGGTCTACTCGGAGGTATCGTTGTATACCTGGCAATGTTCTATCGTCGACATCAGATGCTGTATCGCATCGGCCTATTTTACTGCGCAGCACCCTTATCTGGCGCTTTTGGAGGGCTGCTAGCCACAGGTTTAGCAACGATACGACACGGTGGCTATAACCGGTGGCCTTGGATCTTCTTTGGTAAGTCTCATCGCAACCACATCCGACCTGGCAGCGAAGCAGAAATCTAACGCCCGATAGTGGAGGGTGTAATTACAACAGTCTTCGGTGTAACCTGCTTCTTCTTCATGCCAAGTACGCCGGCGGATGCGAAGTTTCTCACGACGGATGAACGTACACAGGCCATGAGAAGATTAAGAGAAGACTCGCATGGCGCTACTGCTGTCGAAGACGTTAATGATGAGCACTTCAGCTGGCACTGGGTGAGAATGGCGTTGCTCGCGCCGCAGACATATTTCTGCACTCTGGCATGGATATTTCTTCTCATTCCCCTTTACGTATGTTCGATTTCCTTATAGCCATTGTACTTCAAGAAGTATTTCATTGATTGACGTGTATCATTCAACTGACAGAGCTTCTCGCTTTTCTTACCGTCGATCATCCAGGGCCTCGGATATCGCAGCACCACTCAGATCCAGCTTCTTACCGTCCCACCCAACATCGCTGCTTTTTTTGTCGTGCTTGCCACATCTGCTCTTTCGGACAAAATTAAGACACGAGGCCTCATCATGGCTGTTGGAAGCATGGTAGCTTTGTGCGGGTACGTCATGATTCTTGCTTCGAAGTCAAGCAACGTCCGCTATGGGGGTACCTTTCTCATTGCGACGGGAGTATTCCCAGGAAGTGCGATGATCATGGTGAGTCACAAAGCTCTCCAGGACTTGATTGAACACGCTGATGACGAAGCAAGGGCTGGCTGTCAAATAATTTGGCACCTCACTATGTTCGTGCGACTGGAGTCGGCTTATTGATTGGCTTAGCAAACACGTCTGCCTTCCCAGCTACATTCATTTATCTGCAGAAGGATGCGTAAGTCAACTACAGTGAGACTTCGTCATTTGAATAAGGCTTGAACTAAAGAGTGTCTTAGTCCAGATTATGTTTTGGGCCACTCGGTCTGCGTAGGGTCTTTAGTTCTTTGCTGCGCCACCGTCTGTCTGCAGATGCTCTACTGTCGATGGGAAAACTCGAAACGGGAGCAAGGAGATCGAGATGAGCGACTGCACGGGAATAGGGTTCACCTTCTTGGACATCAACACCCTGCTTATCGGTACACCTTGTAAGCTTCAAACTGCTAGTATTGGTTCAGGCCATGGTAAGTGCTCAAAGTATCATGCTACTACCTGTTGCTGTCTCATGAAAGGGGCAAGAATCTCGAAGGCCTGGAACTAGGTCTTGATGCGATTGAGTATACATGATCGTTCAATTCCTCCTTAGGTTCAAAATTCGATCCTCATTATTGCAAATGATCTAGTGCTTTGCTGGTACGCTGAGATACGTTCCTAAATCTACGAATTGCCTCTAGATCGTCAACAAGGTAAGATGAGAAAACAAAATTGGCGTTAATTCGACTGGTAGTTTTCGGTAAATATTTGCATTCCCGTGTCGACTGGCTACTCTCGTGCAAGCAATCCGGCAACGATTCGCGGGAAACTCTCCAAGATAGATCCCTTCTCTGCTTTCCATCCAAGCTTGGTCATTCTTGACGCCTCGATGCGCATGTTGATGCCGTACATGATGGCAATGTGCATAGCCCAAGTATCGGGCGGGGGCGGCGGAGCATCGGGATCGTAGTCGCTGCCAGCGATACTGGCCCTCGCTGCCTCAGCCACGCTGACTGACTTGATCTCGGTGCTCTCAATGACCTTCTGATCCTTGAGTACAGGGGCAAGGTGCTTCATGAACTCTCCGAATGAGATATTCTCACTCGTGCCAAAGTAGTACGCCTCTGGACCCCAGATGGCGAAGGGTTCAGAGTCGGAGGTGCCATCAATGGCCTTTCCGATAAGGATCATAAACATCTTTGCGAGATCCCAAACGTGGATCCAAGCGTGGGTGTTTTCTCCTTCAGCGATCTGCCAGCCGGACTTGAAAGCACGTGCGGTGAGTAGGAGGGCAGGCGTCGTGATCGGGGTCGGGTGCTCAAGGGAAGGGCTCATGCCCCCAACGAATCCAGGCGACATGATGGCCACATTGACGTCTGTGGCCGCATCGCGCACAATCTTATCAGTGACAGCGTGTGTGTGAGCTTCGCCCTTGAACGCGCAGATGTCCCCAATGTCACCGATGTCATCCCATCGACGGGCGTCTTTGGAGCCGGCGGGCTCATCCCAAATGAGAGAAGCTCCCGATGTGTGAATATAGTAAGGCTCAGTGCCTTTGGCTGCGCCACGCGCTTTCAGACCGGTCAGAATCGCCTTAATTCCATCGTCGTGTGTAATGTCTGGGGCGGTGTTGATGACGATGTCGGCCGCCTGACTGCACTTTTCGAGAATATCAAAGTTGCCGGCGTCGCCGATGACGGTCTCGATCTGTGGGTAAGCCTCAACAAGGCGCGCAGCTTTTGTCTCGTCTCGGACCAGGACTTTCACATTCGCATCCGCATGTTTTTGGAGGAGCTGATCCAGCACAGCACCGCCGATATGACCAGTGCCGCCAACGCTATGATAGATTATAAATGAGCCGTACTGACCACACGAAAACTCAGCCTTGATGGCTTTCACTCACAAGAAGATAGGCACCATTGCGGTAACGTCTGGACCTGTCATGCTAGGGGCGCTGAGCTGTGTTGATGTCCAAAACACCAGGAGATTTTATTCCCACAGAGCAACGAGAAGCCCCTCATTGATAATGATAATCCTCTTACCATTGCGTACCAGCAGACTCCACTAGTGGACATCCTGTGGAGCGCCATGCATCGACAGGTCACGAAATATTGAAATGGTGGTCACATCCGGTGAATTCTGCCACGTTGACGTGAAGAGTACCGAAAATGGAATGCTCCTGTCTTGGCTGGTAACTCAAAGCACCTGTATTAAACACTTTTGTTGCCGATCTTCAGACCTCTTGAAGATGAATGAAATTGGTTCTGGCTCAAACTTCGACTTTTACCAGGAAGTCCTGCTGCTGATGCTACGTTACAGTCGCTGGACCCCGAGCGTCAACATTTTGCGACATGTTCAGCCATGAGCATCTCTACCGGAAACCCGTCCGTGTCTCGAGTCTCTACGTAGATCATTACCAGACGATTCTTTAGCATTGGTAAACATCTATCGCTTGAAGGAACCGAGAATATGGCCAGCCTGGCCCCCAATTGATTGTCGAGGGTCATTTGTCGAGGGTCATTTGCCTCCATCTTTCTCCACTACAACACCAATCATCTCCAGAGTGAGGTTGACATGGGTCCCATTTGATACAGGCCCTTCAAACACTAGTAGAAGAGGGGGAAAGGGTGGATCAATCGACCAAACGGGACTCCGAGAGAGCATGGATTTGTGTCCATTCACAGCTAATCTACAGAAATTGGCCCGTTGACACAGTTCACCCATGACATCAAGCTACTTGTCCACAAAATCGGGTCCGTTCATCAGCCCGGGTTATTCACAGTCACGGATGGCTCGGATGGTTCGACCAAACGGCAAAGGCTGCCGGCGCTGTTGCTGGGTATCGGAGAGTTGCTTACGGTAGGTGGTACGAATACCTACCCATTTCCGAAGGGGCTTGCAGAACTCGGCAAGCTCAATAAATCTACGAATGTTTAAGGCTGATACTACTGACCAACTGAGTGGATCGAGATACTCATTTAGCAGAACACCTTGATTCAGTAAAGGGACATGGAGACAGTATGAAGGCAGACATGCCTCCCAGTAGGCAAAGCATCAAGTTGCGTGATCATTCTATTTGTTCTTCTTCGTGTTTCCGTTCCGAAGCGTGCAAGCAAACTTATTCGTGAGAAGCAGTAACTTCGACTTGCTTCTTCAACCAGATCTATCAAGCAAGCAGAGTGGGGTGTTCTGCGAGATTAGACCAGAACTCCATCTCAAAATCCCAAAGCTGGTGATTAGAATAAGGCTCCCAAACTTCCAGAGTAGTAACGTTTGTCGTTTGAACTTGTTCCGCAGATGGTCTTGTAGCGAGCAAAGAGTCAAGCATTGTCTGGATTGTCCCAGTTGCTCGGGTAAATAATGCGAAATTCGGTTCGCCGGCCTGAATCCAAGCTCCGGTCCTAGTCTCGGCAACCAAGACACTGAGGTCTTGGATCATCTTGGACCTCGAGTGCAGAAAAACATCTGAAGCAGCATTTTCCTTCAATAATGCTAGTGAAATTACTCCCGCGGCGGGGAGTCCGTATTGCGCAACTTTCCAGATGAGGCATGTCCCGGAGTTTACTAGCTGATCGCGTAGTAGAATGACCTCAACCACAATGGAAAGCATTTCTATCGCAACCTTCAATAGTTCGTCGTTGGGCTCGGAGATAGGCTGTTGTGAAACGAGCCCCAGAAGGAACAGGTTGTGCAGATAGTCTAGCCTGATATGGGCCAAGAAGTCTCTTCCAAAAGGGCTTTGTTGACACTCTCGGAGGCTCGAACCGAGCCTGAAATGACCTGGCAAATTTTGCCACAGTGCTTCAACCTTTTCGCGGAACTCCCTAGTAAGATCAGTATCACCGAGTCATTTATGACTTATTTTTGAAAGCAAACCTGATGTTTTTCGTGACATCCGTCATATTCTTTCTCCTCAAAAGTTGAAGCACCTCTTCCTTCAGAAGTGCAAATCGCGCAACACATCGTGTATCGGCGTTGTAATTAATGGGCTCAAGATGTGCCACTCTCACGTCAACTTCGTCTTCAATCCATCCATTGTGCACTTTGGGTATTTGGAATTGGCAGTAGTCCTTCACTATTCGCGGAGGTCGTCCAAGAAACACTGCTAAGCCCTTATCGGCTGTGTAAATTCGACAAAAGCAAGCCTTTCGCAGCTCAATGATAAAAGAAGGGAGGTTCGGATTACACCTCTCGATCTTCTCGTGGTAGCCTAGTGCGAAGAGCGAACTTGCAAGATCTCCAATTCGTCTCCATGAATGGTAGCCTGGGTGTGAGCAAGGTCAGCAGCAGTCTTCGGCGGTTCAATCCGCGAACTTACTCTGATCACCATCTAGATGTGAATGAACGATGAAGTTTTCATATTGGAGGATCAACTGTAGATCATTAAGACAATCGAGGGATAGGCTTGTCTCCAGGCAATAGTCACCGATGTAAGTTAATGCCTGCATCAGTCTTCGCCGCTGCTCATTTGTTGTATAAAGGGGGGGAAGTAGGGAGTGTCATAAGCCGCCCTGGCTGCAGCGACAAAGAAGATACCCAACGTCTCCCACCTCAAACTGGACCCGACCATCTGGGCCAGGAAGTCTTGCCGCGTTGAATGAGAACTCAAGGCAAAAGGCCGCAGTGTGTTGGTCAACAGAGTTGCCACATAGCCAGCGCTTGTGATTCCAGAGCTGGAGCCACCACTCTCTCCAGAAATATCAGTCGTCGGAGTAAGGACTTCTCTCCAATGTTCCAAGGACCATAAGCACTCAATGACGATAGGTCCAGCCAAAGGCAAGTTCACTCCCCTTTCGAGCCAAGAACGCACTAGAGGTGTGACTTTGGAGATGTCCATCTTCTCCAGACGCGACAGCGCATGCATCGCCTTATCCATGACAACCTGGTTGCCAACTAGATCTATTGGCGATGCTAAACTGGGCTGTGGAGTCAGGTCTGCATCAGAAGGAGGCCTAAAACCATCGCCGGAGAAGACATGGTTGAAGATGGTAGAGTGGCTTGAGACCCCGAGGAAGCCAGGGTTGGGATAGCGATATGGCTGCGTCGATGCTGTCGGTGTTCCTGTACTGGGTGACGGGGCATCAGCTGGAGACTGAGGTGTCGAGGAGGTCACCGTTGCAATGGTCTCTGTCGGCCCAACTGACATGAGGCTTCTGGAAGTAAGTGCGGGTCAGTCACCAACATCACCATTATATAATCGTTATTGCAGACTCACTCCGTCTCTTGGACTTGCGTTCTCGTTACTCTTCTCCGAAAGGGTCTAGATCTGTAAACGCAATGACTCCGCTGCCCACGGCCAGTGCACCGTGTGCAGGCAGGTCTTTCGTGACCGCATGCTAGTTTCGAACGCCGACAGGGCTCGCACGCAGCAAGTCTCACGTTCATCTTGCTCTTCATATTCGACTCATATGTACCATCATAAGATAAAATGGAGGCTGTGTGTTGCTTGTGGTGAAATGAATCCATCGGTTCAGCTCGGAGAGAAGTCTTTCGGCGAGCTGTGGTCTCCTTTGACTCCGACGATACTGTGGTTGAGTGTTCTTGATTGAGTTTGACACTCCGGACCCCACATCACTCCGATATCACGCCGTAGTCCCATTTCTCTTTTGTCCCCCCCACCGTCCTAGACTCTTAGGGCGCTCTTGACAGGAACATTCCCGATAAGGAGCAGCAGGTTGCGCCGATTAGTTCATAGAGAGCGAGGAAAGGCGCGAATGTCATTACAGCTATCCACAAGTGAGACATCAATCGGTGCCAATCGTTGCTGAAATCTAGGTTGTGACTCCATTAAATTTGCTCCTATCTCTATTTGACCCTCTCTCCGACGGCCCGGACGTGAGTCGAGCGCCATTGGAATTTTTTAAACGCATATTAGCAAAGCATTGAAGGCCGTTATATAAGTAATTAGTTTGGGTATCTCAACATCCACGGGTCCTTCAAGCTCACTGGGTTTAACATCATCGTAACTCGGTTCCGGCATCTTCACATACATAATCATGGGCGAATACATCAACTCCGACCATGCCTCCATCCCGGACACTGTCACCGATGCCGTGTTGAAGCCGGCTCGGCGCACGGTCCCGGCCAGCAAATGGGGCGTCGCAGCTCAATGTACCACCGAAGACTTCAAGACCAGAACTGACAAGCTTAAGCCACTAGCCAAGGATTGGAGCCGTGAGTGCTTTATTCTAGTTCAGAATCTGTGACAGTAACAGCGAAGAGCTTTTGCGACAGAGCTAACCTTGCCATACTTGCCAGACCGTTTGACTCGCGAATCGACAACGAGAGCAGGATCTTCGCTAAAGGCGGCTTTCAAACACCTACAGAACCCGGATGTTATCTCTCTTGGCGGCGGTATTCCACTCAGCGAATTCCTTCCTTTCGAGACACTCTCGTTCACGCCATCATTCGTTCCAAGCAGCTCAAGGTCGAAGTCTGCATCAGACTCCTCCGTTGATGATGCATGCTTTCGATCGACCAAAACAGACCTTTTCGACGGCCGAAGCGTGTTCGATATCTCTGTAGCGTTGAACTACGGTCAAGGTAGCGGGTCTCCGCAGCTTCTACGATGGATCATTGAACACACCGAGATGGTCCACAACCCTCCTTATGCAGATTGGGGATGCACTATGACCGTTGGCAACACTTCGGCGCTAGACATGGCCCTTCGCATGCTCGCCAAACCTGGTGACTATGTGCTATCAGAAAAATTTACGTACTCGACGGCAGTCGAAACTGCAAAGCCGATGGATGTCAAATTCCTTGGTGTCGACATGGACGGAGAAGGCTTGTTGCCAGAGAGCCTCCTCCAAGTCTTGGATACATGGAATCCAGCGGAGCACGACAACGCAGCGAAGCCATTCCTGTTATACCTTGTTCCAACCGGTCACAACCCGACCGGCGCAACTCAAAGCCTCCAGCGTCGCAAAGACATCTACCGGGTGGCGCAGCAGCACGATTTAGTTATTTTGGAAGACGACCCCTACTACTGGCTCCAGATGGACGCCTACAGCCCGTCCGCGGCGCCGGCAACACCTTCCACTACCCCTCATTCGCCAGCAGACTTACTCAAGACAATCGTTCCAACATATCTCAGCATAGACACCGACGGGCGTGTCATGCGCATGGACTCTTTCAGCAAAGTCGTCAGCCCTGGGTCCCGAATTGGTTGGATTACTGCTCCGCAAGCCGTCGTGGAGCGATACAAAACACATGCAGATGTATCGACACAAGGACCCAGTGGTTTCAGCCAACTCGCATTCTTCAAGCTTCTAGATGAGTTCTGGGGCCACGCCGGGTTCCTTGAGTGGATGCTACATATCCGTAGAGAGTATACCGAGCGTCGAGATTTCATGGTGCGAGTTTGCGAACAGCACTTGCCCCGGGAAATCGTTTCATGGGAGCCGGCACGAGCGGGCATGTTTGTGAGTTGACTTCTTTGCTTGCGCGAATGATGTTCTTTTTCTAAACCCTTACAGCAATGGCTACGCGTAGACTGGCAAAAACACCCCGATGCCTCGACGAAGTCTCCGAGTAATATTGAGGAGGAGATATGGCAAGAGGCACTGGCTCAAGGCGCTCTCATTGCTCGGGGTAGTTGGTTCAATGCCAACAAGGACATTCCACTAAATGAGATTTTCTTCAGGACCACATTCGCTGCCGCGCCCCTGGGTCAAATAGAGGAGGCAGTCAAACGGTTCGGAGCAGCGTTGAGGGAAAGCTTCCAAATATGACGAGTTGATTTAGGTCTTGAATTTCGCAGAACTAAAGAAATTCGGAGAAAAAGTAGGCGGAGAACAATAATGAATGTGAAAGTGAAGCTTCTTGAGTAAGAGAACTATGAAGGTGTATATCTGTGCTCATTCAAGTCTCTCAAAGATACGCTTGGTTCCTGATTTAAACGAAAGACCTCTAGGTAAAAGGTGAGATTGACCGATGACTATTGCTGCGGCACATGGTCCTCGATGGGAATGGCCTCACAAGCGAATTGGCCTCAGTGGGGACACTGGTGACATCGGACTCAGCCAATCAAATCTTACCCTGGGTTGACAGGGGGCTTAGGCTTGCAACTGCTTTACCACCCAATCGATACTTATGTAACCTCTTAGCTGAATGAGAAAGTTGAATGGATTCACCTTTGTACTCGATATGTCCTGAATATATTCGCTTCTAAGTTTACATATCCAAGGTTTCTCGGAAGCCTTGTACTAAGGCAAAATTTCCTCGACAACACCACCACCAGAAGATCAAACTGCCAGAAACCGCTCCGATGGCTCAAGAGGACCAAGGACGACGCCTTGCCCCCATGGACTGCACCATAGACTCAACACGCCTCTTGGACTTACCCTTGGAATGCCTTGACCAGATCTTCGCAGACGTCGTTGCGTATGATGAGGAGAGCGAGTTCAATCTGAGAGATGCAACTCGTCTTCTACGTGTCTCGAGTGAGTGTCCTCCCTTCACGGCCAATGAATTTACGCCTTCAAAATCAACCAATTTCTTTCAGCAGGGCTGATTAAACGTCAGAGCTATTCGAGGTCATCGTCATGAGAGCCATTCATATAACCAAACTTCTTCACAAGATGAGGCACAATCCAGAAGTCGTCATTCTTGCCCAGCAAGGCCACTCACACATGGTCTCACCCCAGTGCCGCGTGCAACATCGCGGTGATGCAAGCTTCTTCCTGGCAAAGTACCTCATCATCCAATCATATCGTCACTTACCATGGCACACAAGCCTAGCTACAGTGATCAACGCCATCACTGATAGGACAATGCTAGATGATGGCTTGAATCTCGACAGCGAAGAACGGTACAGACGCATCCATCATCTTTGCAAACAAGCCGTCCATCTTCCAGATCCAGTCAAACATTATGGAGTTTGGGACCTCTTCAGTGATCATTTTCAAAAGCTACTTTTCCCTTCGGAGACGGATCCCGTCGTCACAAATGAGCCATTCGAAGACCTTGTATTCCTTGCCAAACTCTATCTGCAATCAGAAGACGCGGAGAGGCTTGTACTATCTCAAATCCTGAAGAAAGGTCCCATATCACTATCGTCTATTGGGATGGCAAAGTCTCGGGATAGACAATACGCTGCTTCTTCGCTTGTGGGATCAGTCATGGAAGCTGCGATCAGGAGTGGCAATTCGAACCTTTCTGTCCTTCTGATCAACTACGAGATCAATACCTCACGAGAAAAGTTAACGAAGACGGTCCGAGGAAAGAAAATAGAGGGCGTCAGCTTTTACGATATTCACTTCTGGAGGCTAGCCATGGCTTTTGACGACCTGGAGACTATGAGTGCTCTTTTGGATGCCGCAGACCGAAGAGTACCAAGCAAGGCTTTGGGTCAAATTCTTCTAGAAGCTGTGTGCGCGCCACAGCTAGAAATACTCCAACTGCTAGTGGATAACCAAATCCCTCTTGGCAAGAAAAAAATTACTTTCAATACTTATTACGGCAGTAACAGGAGAGATGACAGGTTGAAACAGGCCATTGACACGTGTCTCGAGGAGGCCGTCAACCATGGGTATTCTATGGTGTTCAACGTACTCGCACACACGCCTTACGCTCTAGCAAGAGACTTTTACCGACGTAGTTGGAAAATGAAATGGGGGTTTGACCCTTCGATTCAGTCGACTTCAGATTACTGCCGCCCCGCTAGGTCACTTATTGAGGTCGCTGCTAGTCGCGGAGATGAGGTAACCATCCGTGAGTTGCTCTCCAAAGGACATGGCCTTTATGGACTTAGGGACAACGCAAAACCTCACCATCGGTTGAACCCATACCACCGCCTAAGCCACCTCCGTGGTCTCATGCCAATGATCGCCGCTGCGAAGAGCCGGCATGTCGGCACCGCACTTGCTCTGATCAGGGGACACTTCAAGTGTGATGCAGTAAGGTGGCTCTTGATCATCGGAACGGTCCTGGAAAGCAGAGACCAACAGCAGCCCCACAGGAGACATGTCAACTCGAAGCCATCCTCTACGTCAAAGATTGATGCAGACGATGAAGATCGGCGGGTCCAGCGTGACAGAGATGTCAAATTCTGGCAGGAGTTGATCGACGCAGGGGCTCTGAATCTGCAACATTCTGCCAAAGGATGCGAATGTTCCGAAACACCTATGGCAATGGCGGCAACCCATCCCACCCGTATGCAACTTCCCTCTCGCCTAATTTTTCTTGGCATCTGCTGTTAGTGAATGAGTGAGCCTACCACCAAATTACTAACAGCCGAAAACTCTTCACCTCCCCTTGCCGGAGCCCGCATCCGCGATGGCCTCACAGCCGCCGTCGGGCACCGGACTGATGTCGGCCGACCAAGCCGACCCCGAACCAGGCTCCGGGACACCTCCGGAGCCGAACCCCACCTCAAGAGCTAAGCGACGCCGCGACGCCGAGGCACAGCCGACCCGGCCCAGCCTAACGGGAAGCCAGCTTGATGCCACCACCGACGCCCCTACCTCGGCCGAGGGGCCCGCAGCCTCTACCGCATCTGCTCCGAGCGGATCTGCCACAGGGTCCGTCTTGACAGCCCTT